GGGACGAAGATGACGAAGTAGAGGGATATGGCATCCGACGTGCCAACCCGTTACTGCGTGGACACGCGCCCAGCGGAAAAGCAGTAGTACATCTGATCGATGCAGATCGCAAGTCACATTTTGCAGGTACGCCCCACCTACGCAGCTGAAACACTGGCAGTCGCTCATACTATTGAGGACTGCTATCCTACCATAGTTACGCTACATGAGCTCAAAGATGAACCCCTGAACACCTACTCCACTTAAGAAAATTATGGGGTCAGGTGGCCCCAGCATTAAGGCCATCGTTACTACAGACGCTAAGTCGGCCTTCAAATCCAAGCCAAGTAAGGATTTGGAGAAGCCGACCGAATGTACCCCGTTGGGAGATATCAGTTGGATAAGACAGATGATGGGCCGAGGTATAGTCCATAGCGCATAATGGTGCGATACACGAGGTATGACTGCTCAAGGCAATGCCAAGGGGCGCATCGATCGCGCGTTATTGCTGCAAGTGATGGAAGGAAACCTTCAAGTACGAAGTAAAGAAGCACGCACCCTATAGAGGCAAGAAAGACACAGCACCAACAGGGGCGCCTTATTCAGGGCAAGTGGACACCAATGAGGACGACTACCCAAACTCAGACAAGTAGTTATCCCTGCCTGGACACGGGCATCTATACCTGCAATCTAGTCATCCTCGCCCGGCCACGGGCATAGGTACTCATAGCGTCACAGCTACCATGAGTGCCCGGACACGGGTGTTAACCCTTTTTTCCTCCTAGAGGGGATCTGACCATACCCCCTCGCTCGCTGCACGCTTTGACGACTGGCACTTGGCCGGTCGCCCCCCTCAGCCATCTGCGGATGGTCACGCGATCTCGCCCGTGGCCAGCGACGGCTATCTGTGGCTGGTCGCGGTAAAATGCCAGGACCGGCCCGAATATTTTGCGTCGTTTCTCCTGCACTTGTCTGCGCACTGCTGGGGATGTTGAAACATGATTTTGGCGAAGAACCCAACCATGCGCAGTTGTGGGTACCGCAATTATGAATATCTTCTTCGGTGGAGCTCCCCCTGGGGCCACGCAGCGCTGCACTGGGCAGGGGGAACGCGCGCGGGCGGCAGCGCCGGGGCCGTGGGTGGAGCCCCCCATAGGGGCCACGCGCGCTGCAATGGGCGGGGGGGGACGAGCGCCTTCGGTGGAGCTCCCCATGGGGCCACGAAGCGCCGTACTGGGCGGAGGGGGCGCATGCGGGCGGTAGACCTGGAGCCTTAGTTGGGGCTACCGATGGGGCCATGAAGCGTTGTACTGGGCGGGGGGGGGCGCATGCAGAGTGGCACTGGGGCCTTCGGTAGAGCTCCCGATGTGGCCACGAAACGTGTGAGGGGTGTGCCATATTGGATATTCGGGACGCATGCGGGCGGTGGCACTGGCGCCTCCGAGTGGCGTGCCAAATTGGTTTTTCGGGACGCATGCGGGCGGCGTCACTGAGGCCTTCGGTGGAGCTTCCTATGGGGCCACGAAACGTGCGAGGGGCGTGCCAAACTGAGTTTTCGGGACGCACGCGGGCGGTGTCACTGGGGGCTGCGGTGGAGCTCCCTATGGGGACACGAAGCGTGTGAGGGGCGTGCCAAATCTGGTTTTCGGGACGCTTGCGGGCGGTGGCATTGGGGCCTTCGGTGGGACTCCGTATGGGGCCACGAAACGTGTGAAGGGTGTGCTAAATTGGGTTTTCGGGACGCACGCGTGCGGTTAAATTGGGGGGTTCGGTGGAGTTCCTTATGGGGCCACGAAACGCTGTATTGGGTGGGTGAAACGCAGGGTGGAGGGAGAAGGGGGAGGGAGGAAGGATGAACGCGGGCACTATCTCTTCAAAACGAGGACCCAACACCACAGGATGGTTGGGAACAGTATCCCCATCCTTTTGTTTTACTTGATATAGGTAACTAGGATAAGGGTCTAGCGGTCGGTCCCACCCCTCCCGAATTTGAGCGAAGTTCAAGGAGAGGCTATTTAGCGAACGCTATATCCTACGTTGTGCTGGCTCAAGGCAGCGCTGTCTTACATGCCAAGTGCACGCGACTGTGCACCTCTAGTTGAGATCTTAGCAACGGACAACGGCCACGTCCTTCTATGGTCCACTTTCCATTCCCATGGCTCATCCATTATCGATCCTCTCGCTTGCGATCAAAGGATGAGTTACAGGATACCTTCGCCGACGTTATCCTAGGAGTCGGGCCCTCAGCTTATGACCTCGTGGTCAAGCCCTGTACCCTTATCTTTTCGTTCAGATAGCACTTGACATTCCAGCATGCCCCGACGTGCCTGGGGCACGGTGGCGGGTTGAAGGCACAAGGATGTTCATGGGATTTCGGTCAGTGCCCGCGACACGGTGGCGGGCGTTGGGCCGGCGGGGCGGCCCCCGACGTTTTTGGAGTGTCGCGCGCAGGCGCGGGTGGTGTCGTAGTCGCCGTCATCCTCGTCGTCGTCCTCTCCGCCGTCGTAGTCGTCGCTGTCGCACTCGCAGATTTACGCACCAGTGTGGCATTGGAGGATGAAGATGAAGAGGAGGCTGAAGCGAAAACGAGACTGATAAGGAGGAGGAGGAGAAGCAGCCGGCAACGATGAGGATGAATATGAGAACGACGCTGGAGAGCAGAGGAGTGTGAGCAGCAGGCGAGGATGTTTTAATATGAGGGTGAGGCAGATCGAGATCCTTCCCGACCTGGGGGAACCACCACCAAATCGAGCCCGTCACCACCCACCCAAGCCCACCCCACACCCAGGGGGAAGGGGTCAAGCACGAAGTCGGGCCTCCCACCGCTTACCCACCCCGTAACCCCGCACTCACATGGGGGAAGCGGGCACCAGCGCCAAATCAAGCCCCTTCCCCCCACCACCACCACCACCACCACCACCACCACCACCACCACCACCACCACGTCCCACACCACAGCGGCGCCAAATCGGGCCCATCGCCGCTTTCCTCCCGAGTCGAGCCCGTCACCGCCCTCGCCCTTCTACCCGCGGGCCGATAGTGCGATAGTGAGGGTCCCCATCCCCCCTCCCCATCCCCATCCCCATCCCGATCCACCTACAGGGGAGCCGATCTCCCAGGACGCCAGGAGGCGGTAGATTGGATACATGTGGGCCCCATGGGGCCAACCATCAGACATCAGTAGATGGTCGGGTTCTTGAGTGAGACGTCATCGTTGAAAACGCCTTGCTCAATCAGCCACAGCCGTTATCGTTGAGTCAGCCGTTCTCGCTGATACTTGTGTATATGCAGGTGTACGCGTTTACAGACTAAGCGAGCCGGTCCGGCCGACGAGAATACATTGACAGCCAGACGTTCTTGTTGAAATCAGAGTGGTTCAGTGAGCCACCCCCGCTCTTTCAACAAGCAACGATCAGACGCCCTCCCCTCGCATGAAGATGCCAGTTCTACAGAGTTGCCCCCAGAACCACCAAGCGCCCACGAGGCGCCCACGAGGCGCCCACACGGCGGCACGGGCGGCAACGTGGCGCAAGTTCGGGAAGTCCACCCAGCGTGTGGCACGGGGCGCCCACGAGGCCTTCACGAGGCGGCACGGGGCGGCAGCGCGGCGAAAAGTTGGTGAGCCCGTCCAGCTTCCACAAAACGGACGGCCGAAACAAGAGCCCCCCAAGCGCAAGCACTGTTTACAGGAGGATGCCAGCTCTGCAGCGTTGCCCCGCGAGCGTGCCAGTCTGACCTCTCCGCCATGGTCTCCTCAATCGGCGGCGAGCCTTGAAGTGAGAGGGGGCGGACCTTCTCAGAAACTTGGCATCGCTCGGACGTGTGCATTTTTTCTCGGTGAGGACCCTCGAGGAGCATCCTGGATCATCTGGCAAAAAGGCACTCACGAAACCGAAAAATGCACGGGGAATGGACGTCCGAGCGACGGCAAGGAAGACTTGGAGGTCCCCTGGCCTTCTGAAAAGTTTTCTGAGCCTCCCTCGAACACACAAACAACTCCTCAGAAGGCCGAAGGGCTTCTGAGAAGCTCTTCCTTGGCACGTCCCCCCTTCGCTCGCCCCCGCCCGGCACACTGAGCCCCGCCTGCCCCCCCTCTCCCCGGCCCCCCCCCCCTCCCGATCCCGGAGGCCCCCTCGCTCCCCGATCCATCCTCGGCTCCCCAGCACCTACAGGGCACGAGCAGGAGGAGTGAGGGAGGCAGGGGAAGGGAAGGGAGGCAAGGGAGGAGGAGTAAGGGAAGGGAGGGAAGGGAGGGAGAGGAAGGGAGGAGGAGGAAAGGAGGGGAAGGGAGGAGGAGGAGGAGGAGGAGCAGGAGGAGGAGGAGGGAATGAATGGAGGCGTGAGAGAGGGAGGGAAAGGGAAGGAAAAAAAGGGAGGAGGAGTGAGGGAGGGAGGGGAAGGGAAGGAGGGGAGGGAGGAGGGAAGGGAGGGAAGGGATGAGGAGGGAGGGGAGGGGAGGGGGGGGGAGGAGGGGAGGGGAGGGAGGGGCCGGAGCAGGAGCAGCAGGAGGAGGCCACGGAACGGAGGGGGGGGAGCGGGACGGAGGAGCGGGACGAGGGAGGGAGGGAGAGTATGGGAGGGGAGGGGGTGGGGAGGGGGGAGGATCGACGATCGAGGGCCCAGTACCGCCTCTCTCGGCCTCTCCTGGCCATCCTCGATCCTCCTCGCTCCTCGCTCTGGGTCGTCTCTCATCCTCGTCGTCCTCCTCCTCCATCCTCCCTCCTCCCTCCTCTTCCTCCCTCCTCTTCCTCCCTCCTCTTCCTCCCTCCTCCCTCCCTCCATTCCTTCCTCCCTCCCCTTCCTCACTCCTCTTGCTCCCTCCTCCCTCCTCTTCATCCATCCTCTTCCTCCCTCTTCCCTCCTCCCTCCCTCCCTCCCTTCCTCCCTTCCTCCCTCCTCTTCATTCCTCCTCTCCCTCCCTCTTCCTCTACCCTCCTGCTGCCCCCACTCTTCGTTGGCTCGACCCTCCGCTCGGGATCTCCGATCGGCCGGGGCTGGCGGCGCCCCGCCCGCCCCCCCAGACGCATTGCGAGTGCTTCGGGCGCTTCGAGGCGCCCCCTCCTCCCCCCGGCGCAGCGGGCCGCTGCCCGCCGCCGATCGCCTCTCGCCGTCGGGGTGGTCGCGGTCTGTCTTCGTGGTGGCCGTGGTGGTGGTGGTCGGAGGAGGAGGCGGAGGAGAAGGGGCCGATGGGCACAGAGGAGGAGGAGGAGGAGGAGGAGGAGGAGGACTTCTCTACTCCTCTTGGGCCCATTGCCCTTCCTGTCTTGCTCGCGCCGTCAGCCCACTTTGTGTGACGTATTGCTACGTAGTTGTTTTCTCGCACGAGCGTTTCAAGCCACTCACCTGGAGTTCGCCCAACGCAAACAGGAGGGACCGATGTAGCCGCCGCCACCCACGGCCGTCAATCGCCGCCGCCGTTGCCGTCGCCTTCGGGGTGGTCGCGGTCTGTCCTCGTTGTGGCCGCAGTGGGTGGGGGGGCGATAGAGCTGCCATTCCCTCGTCGCCACAGGGTGGGTTCGCCTCGGAGTCATGGTCAGAACGCTCCCAATGAGAGGTACAGGGAGCAGCGTTGAGTGGTGGACACGGTGGTCGTCGTCGTCGTGATCGTGGTCGTCGTGGTCGTCGTCGTCGTCGTCGTCGGCGCCACCCGAGGCGGGTATCCAGCAGCGGGTGCTTCGGCAGCGCGCGGGGGGGTGGCCAGAAAGCGCCACGTTCGCGCGCTGTGGCAGCGACAGGGTGGCAGGAAAGCAACACATCGCCAGGGTCCATTTCGATCCGATCGATCCCGGCTTACCGATCCGATGCGATGTTCGCAGTTGTTTGCATGTTGCCGTTGTTCGACCAGACTCGGTCTCGGCTACGTGTCGGTGCAGTCCGATCCGATGTGATCCGATGTTCCGTCCCGACTTGATCCGATTCCCCGATTCGATGTTGATTGATCACGTCGCGCTACAACTATTGCCGTCCCCGTCTATTGAGTACCCAACAGGATGGCGTTGACGGCGCGGTGGTGGTCGTGGTCCTCGTTGTCGTGTTGGTCTTCGTCGTGGTCGTCGTCGCCGCCGCTCGAGGATCCAGGTCGGAGCATCGAGGATCCAGGTTGCTGGACGTCTCTAAACCGCCGCAGGACCTCCAAACGCCGAAGATGGGCCAAAGTTCCCCGTCGTGATTTTGGCGACGACGCGAGTGTGTGTGGGTCGGAGGTAAGAGAAGCGACAACACCATCACCACCAGCGGGCCACCTCCGGCGAGGAGGTCCACGATGCCTCACCGAGCTGGCGATGAGAAATGTCTCGAGCTTGACGCCGCCGAGCAGAGGACCACACCATCTGGCGCCTCGCAATGGTGGTGGTGCCGGTTTCCTTCGCTTCCAGGGTCCGTCCCCCGCGGATGCCTCCGTACCCCCCACCGGCAATTGGGTGCGCCCTGACGAGCATGTCAAGATTTCGACGGGAATCCAGCCGTGCTGCGGCTCCCTCTCCCCGCCCCGCCCCCACGAAGCTCCCCTTCGTCGCCACAAGGAAGCACGCGACGAGGGGGGAGGGAGCGGGCGGCTGGAGAGGGCCCCGCGTCCTCCGCCTCCTCAGCGCTTCCTTCCCCCGTCCTCCTCCTAGCCAAACCTCCGGCGTTGTGATTTTATCCGAGGCGCCAGAGCGTTGGTTCCACCAAGCCCTCGTTCCCCTCGTCCTCCCCAGACCTCTGGCGTCGTGTTTTTCAAAACGTGTCCCCCCCCCGAATCTGGACCGTTCCTTTTCCCCAGGACCGGCCTTGCATCCCGTTTTTGTTCCAGCTGTTAGTTGTTGTTGTTGTTCCATGGTTTTGCATGGCATGCTTCCTCCTCCTCCCTCCTCTTCCCCTTACCCGGACCCTAGCGCCTTCATCGCCTCCTCGTCAGGCTGCCAGATGTGGAGCCTTGACTGGCTTTTGCGTGCGCGCTTGCAGACCACCGGAAGCCGAAAACAGAAATCTTCCGCTTTGCGGTTTCCACGTCGCGGGTCTAGACATCCGACGATATGATTGAATCAATGTGGGGCCCCTGAGGTCCCGACCCCTTCCCCACGGGGTAGTTTTGCGCCCCGCATCCGTTTTCAATGGTCCCAGGGCCCGATAACGGACCTCAGAGGCCAACATCGAGGAAATACGTGCCCAGACGGAATACAACTCAGCAACATCCCCTAATAGCATCAGGTGAAGGGGCGGGTCGAGGAGTAGGAGGTCTAGCGGCTATGGGGGACAGGGGTGAGAGCACGGCCATGTGCACTTCAGGGTGTTTGCAAAAGCGACCGTGACCATCTGGACCAAAAGTGTAGCCGGCATTGAGGCGAGAGCAGGGTCCCTGAATGACCGGTGAAGTCTCAGCGGTTGCAGGACTCGGCGGTCTTGGGCTCCCCCTCCCCCTTGTGGAACTCTTCGGTGGTCTTCCTTTACCCCCATTGGAACCCTCTAGCGAAACGCTGTTAGGGAAACACGGCCAGATTGAAGAGAACATGCCGTCGGAGATCTGCGAAGATGTACCCCTGCCCACCTCGCCCTCCCCACGGTTCCCTTTGAGCCCGTTCGGCGTCTGAGCCCATTCGGCCGCCTACTGGGCTCACGATCGAGCCCATCTGGCGGCCGGACGGGCTCAATTCCCTCGACACTGTCGGAATTGAGCCCGTTCGGCTGCCCAATCGGCGGCCGAACGGTCTCTGACGTCGAGCGGGATCAGCAGGGAGCCGTGGGGCTGCGGTCGAGGCATGAAGGCCGAGAGCGTGGTTGAAGAGAGCACGAGCCTCTCCGCCGAAAGTCCAAAGGTGGAGAGGCCAAGACGAAGAGCATCGGGGTTCGCGCCGAAGGCCCAGCAAGGAGAACTGCGCACTTTTCTTTTATCAGTGCAAGAGGAGCCCAGCGGCAGAGTGCGGAAACCACACGACCGACAGACGACCGACGGACGACAGACGGGAACGACGGCACACGTACCGACCCTGGCCGGGCCCATCTTGGGCCCATGTGAGCGACTCAGAGAAGAACAGGATCGTCTTCACCGACATTGGAGCGTAGGCTTGCCGCATAAGATCGCGCGCAAGCGCCCTCGTCTCCAAAGTGACGTGCCGCGCTGGCGGCCGCGTAAGCCACCGCGTAAGGACGCTATCTCATCTCGCGTAAGACCCGTAGCTTTTCGTCGCCCATATGTCGGTACATGTGCCCTCCTGGCCCACCCTGTCTTGTGGCGATCGCCGGAGGTCAACTTCACCGAGGAGGACTTCGAGCTGGTGCTGCACGTGCTGCGGTCGCTGTGCGCGCCGTGCGCCGGGCTGCGCCTCCAAGAGAGCCCCAGCCCACCCGCCCCTCCAAAGAGGGATACCACGCTGGGCCGCGTGCACGGGCGCCCTTCGGCGCGGGAAGGTTCGATAGCAACTCACGGGAGCTTTGTACAGCGCGTGTACAAGGCTAATCTACGCTAGTGCACTCGAACGACGGAATAGCGCGGGGCTACCGTGCCCTCATAGTTCCGTCTCTAGCCTGCACTAGCGTCGATGAGCGTCTGGTAATCAATGAGAACGCGCAGATTTAGCGTCGATAATCGTCGATGGGCGTCGATTCGCAAGAGCCAGCAATATGGCATGGGAGGCTCCCATGAGATGCCACAGAAGGAAGGGGGGCCCAGACCTCTGGCGATATGAGCAGCGGTACGAATCATGATGTGGAGCTCCCGCATCTGACGTCTTACTCGACCGCGCCTGCCTGGGCATCATCCGAAAGACAGTGATGTACCGTATGCGTGCTAGGACCTCGGCTCGATTCCGAGCATGTGCGGCCCCTCTCCTTCTCTCTCTCTCTCTCTCTCTCTCGCTCTCGTTATGTCGTGCTCTCGCTCTCTTCTCCGGCTCGCCTACAGAAACGGACAGGCACAAGGACAAATACGGACGGACATGTTGCACAGGGTGAGAAAGAGGGAGTTCGTGAAAGAGAGAGAAAGAGAGAGAAAAGAAGAGCGAGAGAGGGATGTGTGGGAGATACATGTCTGCCCTGAGAAAGAGAGAGAGAGAGAGAGATGAGAGAGAGGAAAACAAGACGTATAGAGATATACATATGCATATGCATGGATGTATATCTATTTCTATATAGATGTGTGTATATGTAACACTATACACAACGGCGAAAGGTCTCTACCCCTCCCCCCCATAGAATGTGTGTGTGTGTGTGTTTTTTTCCCGCGGGCTTACTGACGGATTAAGGTCCCCAACAATGCGGGAAAATAATTATGCCCTCGCGGCGGCCACCGCTGATGACTGCGGGGATGAGGATCCCTGATGGTGATGATGATGATGATGACGATGACGATGAAGGTGATGATGATGATGATGATGATGATGATGATGATGATGATGATGATGATGATGATGATGATGAGGGGGAGGAAGAATTTCACTGCCAGCCGAAAGCTGAAGGGTGAGGGGATCGGGTAGCATTCAAGACCCTCTGAGGTTATGGATTTCTGGGGACTTGTGTTTTCTCAATCGCGGCGGGTTTCCTTCTTTGGAGCCTCTGGGGCCCATGATCGGACCCCGAGACCATTAAAAAGGGATCCGGGACGCAAAATCATCCCAGGGGAAGGGGTCGGGATTTTGGGGCCGCGCAGCGGAAAAAAACTGATCTGAGAATGTATGAGCAGAGAATCGGGAGGGGTTGGCGGTGCGGATTTAAATCGTGTATCGGAGTTTGTTTTATGATTGTTATATTTGTTCGGTCACCCGGGTGCTTTCCAGCAGTTGCGCCTTGCCGATAGCGCTCCGAGGCTCCGAGGCCTGAATCGTCCCGAGCGGCTGCCATGAAACCTGGTCATAGCTCGAACGCCGACCTCTTCTCGCTGAGAAAAATCACGACGGAAGGTTTTTGACAATTTTCGGCTTCGGAGGCTCTCACCGGGGCCCGCGGGGTCGTCAGAGAACAATCCAAGAGGAGAAGTTGGTCCCGGGGGAACGATCCAAACTTCTTGGGATCTACGTTATGAGCAAGTGACGCTGTCGCAGGCCTGTGAATGCCGAGGAGGAATAGGGCGAGGATTTAGTGGACTCCTTTTATCCGTCGCCTCGGAAACATCGAGGCGGCCTGATTGTCGTCGTCATTTGTGGCGTCCGGCGGCTGATGTCGGGCATCGGAACCATCGAAATCGTATGGAACCAATATTGAAGTGTCGGGTACTATTGGGAGGGAGAGGGGGGCGACAGCTTGGAGGAGTGGAGCGCGAGGATTTGGAGGAGGGCGACGGGGACGGGGCTTTTCCTCCCCATCTTTCCTCCCCCATTATCGTTTTCCTCCTCCGCGTTTTCCTGCTTCCCCTCCTCCTCCTCCTCGGCCCCAGGGCCCAGAAGCTGCCCGCCCTCACGCTTCAAAAGTCGGCCCTGGACCCGTCCCTGTCTGCGTTCTGACCAGAATGCCGAAGGGGAACCCAGCCGTGGCGACGAGAGCGCCCCAGCTAGCCCCCGAATGAATAAAACACGCCCCGAATCAATGAATTCAGATGTCCCACGAGGATTTGTTTTCAATCGGTGGCCCTCTTGCTCCAGGCCAGACCGCTTCCCTGGGGGTAGCTCTTCATTCCCAGATCCACGCTGGGCGACCCCAGACTCCGAAAACGGCCCACTGCGCGCGGGAGTTTCAGAAAACCACCAGCAGCGAAATAATCAACACTTCGGGAGGAAGAGAGCGGCCCAGGCACGACCTGCCGTCGCTGCAGGAGGCGCTGGACCTCTGCAGCCTGTGACGCCGCCGTGGGGGCCGCGGCGGCTGCCGGATTCCTCGCTGCGGAGACAGAGGAGGATGGGGAGGGCGGGACGGGTATGAGGGGGAAGGGGGAAAGGGCAGGGAGAGAAGGGAAGGGTAACGATTTTCGGTCTAGAATGCCAGCCCATGTGAGCTTTAAGTCTGGGAATATCGTGGGAAGTTGGATAGTGGGTTTCTGTCCATACCCATTTGGGCACGAGGCACCTCTGTGTTTCGGGTTTGTCAGGACAAACCAGTGCGCCATCGCCGTCGATCGTCCACGTCGGATTGGGTTTTGAGAGCAATTGGATTCATAGTGGTAGCGGAGCCGGGGTTCGCCCTCGGCTCCAATACATTCTGCGCGCTCTCGCTCTCGGGGCCCGCCGGCGTGCAAGACATGTCGGAGGCGGGGCACGCTTTGGCTCCTGGCGGCGCGGAGGACGCCAACGGCCTGGGTGAGCCCGAGGCGTCGCAGCAGACGCTGTCCGCGATGAGCATCGAGGACTTCGGGCGGCTTGTGAAAGCTATGGTACGCGAGGAGTTTCGGGAGCATCGTTTCAGAGGTGCCGACCGATCGCAGGCTCCCGCGACCCAGGCTGAAGATCAGTCAGTGCATGCCGACCCCGCCGAAGGGTTCGCTCGCGACCGCGCTCGACAACCAGCTTCAGAATGGGGAAGTTGGCGCCCGGGCGCGTGGCGAGATCAGGCGGGTGAGATACATGGCGATAGGTGGAGAGAGCAGCACTGTGGACATCAAGAAGCAGATCGGGTGAAAGAGCAGCGTAAGGATCCGTGGGAGCACGATGACCCATGGAGAAGATCAAGTGATTGGCAGTGGCGTCAGGATTCCTGGTCATCCGAGTGGTCCGCCCCTTGGTGAAAGGATGCCAACTAGAAGGGGGACTATACCGACCCGGAGGCGTGCAAGGGCTGGCCAGACTACCAGCTCTGGAAGCGAAAGATCTTCCGGTGGGAGCGCGCCACAGACGTCGCGACAGAGAAGCGAGCAGACAGGGTGCTCAAGCAGCTCGACGCGGACCTTCAGCGCAAACTGGAGTGCATCACAGACGAGCAGCTCACGAACCCAGAAGGAGTTCAACACGTGCTGAACATTTGGACCTCCTTTCGGGCGAGAAGCACGATGACGAGAGACGTCGCACCGCGAGGGAGTGCCTCTTCCAGTACCAGAAGAAGCCCGCGGAGTCCCTCACGAGCTTCGCGTCCTGGCTGGACTTCCAGTTCGACAGGATTGCCACGCATGGGCTCGCCATGCCCGACGAGTGGAAGGCCCTCTTCTTAGAGGAGGGCGCTGGGCTGGATGACGCGAGCCTTCGCTTGATCCGCGTGCTCACGACGGGCGACAGCTCGCACGCGGCGACGCCGGCAGCGATCCGGGAGCTAGACATCAGCAAGAAGGAGACGATGACCGGGACACGTCGCACGCGGATGACCCAGCCCCCGGGGGAGTCAGAGCTAGCATCGCAGACTTCCCAGACGGAAGCTGAGGACGGCCTGCTGAGCTGCGATGGCGCCTCCTCCCTCGACACGGACACGGAGTACGCTCTATTAGACGTCATGGAGCAGAAAGACTTCAACGAGGCCGACGCCCCCATCGCCCCAGCGACGACGCAAGCTGATCGGAGAAAGACGCGGCGCCAGAACAGGGAGCTGAAACGGAAGCTGAAGACGGACAGGCGTTATTTCCAGAGGTCGGCCCCCGGTCAGAGCTCAGGCGATCGTTCATCGTCGAGGCCCAGGGGACATGTTAGTGCCAGCGGTCGGCCGCGAGACCGCGAGGCGCGGCTTCCTCTGTCGGAGATCATCAAGCGCCCCAGGTGCAGCTTGCGCCAGCAGAAGGGCCACGGGGGCGACAAGTGCCCCAACAAGGATGGACCGACAGCCTCTGGAGCTCGAGGAGGCCAACGGGCTACCTCTGGAGCTCGAGGCAGTCACCAGGGGCCTCCACTCACTGGCTTCAGCTACCCGAACGGGCAGGAGGAAGTCTTTCTCATGGGCGCCCAGATGCCGCGCAGCACGAAGGAGACCGCGCTCGTGGCCAGCAAGAGCATCGACAGCTGCACGCAGAAGGAGCTGGCGCTTCAGGCCGCGAAGGGCAGCTGTCCAGGCGGTCTGCGAGTTCCAGCTGGAGCAGCGGTTCTCGACACGGCGGCTGGCCAAGGGCTTGTGGGGAAGGACAACCTCGCGGAGCTCAGCAGCCACCTCGGGCGCCTGGGCTACGCCGCTGAACACGCGGCGGCGCGCCGCGCCTTAGCGGGCGGAGTGGTAGGCAAGACGGGCGCCCCCACGACCGCACCGATCCCAACGGGGATCGAGAAGGCCCATGGAGCGTTTGAGGTCGGTGCGATTGAGAAGGGTATCCCCCTTTTTGTCACTGTCTTCCTGTTGACAGCTTTAGGGGCAGTAGTAGACCTACCCAAGAAACGCGCGCGTCTGTCGAAGCTGAATTGCACCACGGAACTGTTTTCCATACCCCCGGGCCACCCGCGTTTCTGGATTGACCGTTTGAAGGGCCCTCGGGAGTTTCAGCGCCCGGGGCGATTGGCCCAGCAGCTTCCGGAGCTGAAGGCGGACAGTTTCAGGCAGCCCGTTCAATCTGTCGGCGTTTACGAGGTCTCTCCTCCCTCTTCCGTCTCCTCCGCTCGCCTCGCGGTCTACGGCGCGAGCCCCCAGGTTGGCAACGATGATCTCGGGGGCGGAGACCCCGCAACGATCGACGACCCAACGACCGACAGACACGACGACGAGCAGACGCGACGGCGCGGAGATGACGACATGCAACATAGAGGCGCGTTCAGTAAAACACGCAGCGAACAGACTCCGACCGAAACCAACGGGAAGCATTCAGATGCGTTCGCGGCCGAGGGGGCACCCGAGCCTGGGAACGACAACGCGCGGAACGATATCGGTCGGAGCCCCTCTTTGCTCGAGATTTCTGGCCGCATTATTCTCGATCAGCGGTTGAGCTTCCGCGTCGAACACGACGCCCAGCACCGGCAAGCCAGAGGCAGAGTTCGCGGGGAAATACGTCCTCACAGAGAACCTGATTCTGGAGAGGATACCCCAGAGTTCCCGCACCTGGGCGTTCTTCACCAGCACGCCGATGAGCACGGCCTGCACGCTCAGCCGCGAGCCTCGCAACATGCTCGCGACCAACAGACTCTTCACGTTGAAGACCCGCAAGGTGGACTGCGGGCCGACCAAGGAACAGTTGATCTGCCGCCACCCCGCGATGGAGATCTCCTCGGGCGCCAACCTACACGGCAGGCGGTGGAACTGCGAGGCCCGCGGTCAGAGGACTGCGCATCGCACGGCCGGCGAGCTCAGAGGCGCGGCCATGAAAAGGAAGCGCGGCATCGTCTTCAGCTTCGCGATCTTCGAGGCGATTCCCGAGCCGAAGCCAGCGAGGGCCCCCGGGTGCGACGGGGCGGCGAAGGGGCGTCGCGAGGGTCGAGCCGACAATTAAATTGTCGGCGCGAGAGAAATTGAATTTCTCTCGCGCGGTTCAGAGCCCAGGCCCGATGATGGAGGACGACACTCCCATGGAAGAAGAACAGCTTCCTCTCGCACAACCACGCCCGGCAAAACACGCGCCAGAGAGGCCCGTTCGCTGGGCGACAGCTCAGCCATCAACGCCCCAGCCAAAGGGCGAGAACTTCGCTGCGCTGATGAAAGCCCACATCGAGCAGCTCAACACGCTGAAGGCTCAGCAGCAGAACACGGACCAGATGATGCTCGAGAATCGACAGGCCATGGAGCGCACGATGGGGGTCTCGCAGGCTCAGGGGCCGACAATCCAGAGCATGGACAAGTCCAAGTGGGAACTGATCCACGAGACGCCCCCCCCTCCCCGGGCCAGGCCACAAGCTCGCCAGGTTCAGCCAGCCCGGGGAATTATCAGGAGCCATGGGCCCCAGCCGGGCTTCACTGAATTTGACCCTCTCCAGCACGGCGCCACCTGCAGAGGATCAGGAGAAGCCGAGAGCGGCCGCAGGCCCAGAGCTGGATCAGGAAGACCCGGCAATCGTCGATCCGACTCCAGAGCAAGTGAGCTCGACGCAGGCGAAAGCACAGCGTTTTTTTTTCGAGCTCGAGCCTGTCTGGAGCGACACGGCGGACGGTCGCCGCGCGTTTCTTTTCTGGCGGGCAGGCTGGGCCCACGCCATCCTGGGAGATACCGCGAACGATGATTTTGAGGTCACTATTCCCAAGAACATGCCAGAGCAGACGTTGGCATCTTCCAAGGAGCGTTCTTCGGTCAAACTGGACGCTTTTGTAGAACTCTTCTCTCCTCTTCGCATCTCTCCATGTCTTAAGCAACGGGGGGTTGAAACTGCGTTGAGTTGGGACTTGGAAGCGGGGTGGATCTTTCTCAAGGCGGAACGTTCCCAGGCCGATTTGAGGATCGAGGAGCTGGAGCCACCGCGTGATTCTTTCAGCCAGATACCGGCCATAGGGCGTGAACGCGTCTCTGCTGAAGAGGCATTGCAAAAGCGGCTTCGGGGCATTACTGTCTCGAGATGCTGCGCAGGTGGCTCGGGAACAGCATTCCGAGGGAAGACGTGGCCCACCCTGTCGGGGCCAGCTCATGGTCGGAGAGATGTATTCGGGACTTGGCCTCATCGCCTGGCAAGTTCCTCGCTGCCGTCGATATGCGTCGATTCGGTCTTCGGGTTAGTGAAGAAGGTAGGTCGACGAAGCCAACCAGGATTCTGGCCAATGATGAACAGATGTATCGGACTCTCCTGGGCTTTAGGCGCACCTGCGTCGAGCCCCACGCGCACTTGGAATCCTCGGCCCCCACGAGAAAGGCCCAGGCTTATCCCGGGGAGTTCGCGAGAAGGCTCGCTCTCGGCGTTTGGAGAAGCATGGCTCGGAACACCGTTTCGGGGAGCACCACGGCCGAGTCCGCTTTGCTTGCTACCGAGGCCCCCTTCCCCGTCGAGGACGGCGAAGACAGGGGCCACCCGATGGGGCGGGGGGGGGGGAAGAGGGCGACGTCGAAAACACGGAGACGGCCGGCGCCGACATCGAGGACCCCGCCGAGAAACCCATCGAGATCAGCGCCAGGATCAAGGAGATGATTGGACGGGTTCATGCGAACCTAGATCACTCCAGGGCCGAAATCTTCACCCACGTTCCCCGGGCGGCTCAGGCGAGGCCGGAGGTCCTGCAGGGGGTCTGGGGCCATGTCAAATGCGACGCCCAGAGGATGACCGCCGAACACAGGCAGGCGGCCAGCCCAAGGACCTTCCAGTTCAGCGGGATTGTGGCGGTCGACACTTTCTTCGTCCCTTTTCTCTCCGAGGTGGTTCCCTACCTAGGCTCTGCCTAGAAGCGTTCTTACTCTGTTTGCTTAAAGCGGCCGGGCAGTGGGGCTCGCCGCGGGCGGTTCCCCCAGCATCCGCCCCGCGGTTCCCCCAGCTACGTCCCCTTAGCTTAGCGTTGCTTATCCTAGCTTAGCTTACTTCATCTTAGCTTAGCTTAGCCTCATCTTAGCTCAGACCTATATTAGCTTAGCTTACCTTCATCTTAGCTTCGCAAAGCTTTAGCATAGCAGAGTACAGCATAGCATCGCGTATCATAGCATAGCGCAGCACAGCATATCATAGCATAGCCCAGCATAGCATAGCATAGCATAGCATAGCGCAGCACATCAGCACAGCACAGCATAGCGCAGCACAGCACAGCGGGCATAGCATAGCATTGCATAGCCAAGCATAGCATAGCATAGCATAGCATAGCGCATCATAACATGGCATAAAGTATCATAGCACAGCATAGCATAGCATAACACAGCGCAGCACGACATGGCATAGCTTAGTTTAGCATAACATAGCATAGCTTAGCATAGCATAGCATAGCATAGCGCAGCATAGCATAGCATGGCATCACATAGCATAGCATAGAATAGCGCAGCATAACATGGCATAACATAGCACATCATATCATAGCGCAGCATAGCATGGCATAGCATAGAATAGCATAGCAACTAATGCTGGTTTCCTAGAGGCTCCAACTTCTAGGTAGGGTCGCACTGGGTAGTTTGTTATACCAACATGATTTGCCACGGGGCCACGTTCCAGTCGTATCCAGGTCCTCGGGAGGCGCCAAGGTCGCCTGGAGGGCCACGATGGAGACCTGGATCAGATATGTTGGCCCGCCCGACGCCCTCATCACAGATGGCGGACCGGAGTTCCAGGGAGAGTTCGAGCATGGTCTTGAACAGCATGGCGCGCTACAACACGTGACAAACAGTGAGTCGCCGTGGGGAAACGGTCGTTGTGAGCGACACGGTAAGTGGGTGAAAGATCTCATGCTTCGCGGCATCGAACAGAGCGTGGTGGCCACCCGCGAAGACCTAGATATGTTGGCGCATAGTATAGTAAGTTCAAAGAACAGATACCTTCACCGTGGAGGTACACACCTTACCAACTAGTTCTGGGCCAGAACCCGAGGCTGCCGAACGATCTCTCGAGCGACGACGCCGTGTCAAGCGTTGGGTTAGATGACCTCGCGCAGGCGGCACGGGACAGAGTTACGGCAGCATCCGACCTTGCACGTGAGCAGTCCATTCGAGAGTTTGCCCGGGCGTCGCATTTCGAGACCACCAGCAAGCAGCGGGCTCGCGAAGCCAATCGTGGCAGGATGCACCGGGAACAAACCTTCCCAGCGGGTCAGTGGGTTTATGCGGAGACCGGCGCCCACTGGAGGGAGGAAAACCTTTTCTCTCCAGCGCGACCGCCGGGCGGGCCCGGGGGTCGCGGTGTTTCAGAGGGGGAACGCGGCGTGGATAGCGATGGCATCGAGATTGTGGAACTGCGCCACCTAACAAGTCCGCCCTGCCACAGGAAGCGAGGCGAAGGGGGCCGAACTCCCGTTCCAGCCCGAAGTCCGGGAACTTATCAGGGACGCCCAGTTGGGGCACCAACGGTCCAGTGTTGACGTTCTCCGAGAAGGACCCCCTCCCCAGGAGGCCTGGAACGCCCCTCTTCCCCTTCCAGGAGACGGGCGCCCCCAGAGAGTCTTTCTCCCCGCGTCTACTTTTGCTGTCCGAAGGCCGACCGACACTGCCACCCCCGCGGGCTCAGGAGACACGGCAGCATCAAGTTCGGCGCCCACCGGAGCGAGAAGCACCAGACCAAGTGCGCCCCCGCGGGCCCCGGGGCCGTTTCAGGTCGAAGCGACGGGTTCGGCGGCCGCCAGCACGGCCCCTGGCTTTCCCCAGGGACCTCCAGGGATTCAAGACGGGACCGCCCCCAGGGTTCGGAAACTGGAAGCCTCGAGAGCTCGGGGGGAGCTCTGGAACGCGCCAGTGAGACCCCCTTCGCCCCCCCCGAGAACATCGGGTCCACTTCGAGATCTCCATGGCGGGGGGAATTCAGACCTCAGGGACCTTCGAACCCAGTCTCGCACCCTGTCGGTGAGGAAACCATAGAAGAACCCCATGTCTGGGTCTCCAGACAGATAGCCGACTCCATCCGGTGGAATCAGAGATTGGACCTCGGATCGGCGAGATGGTGGCCCCCCACCCTCAAGGAGGGCTTCCAAAGGGGATCTGCCAGGAAGAGGCCGGCGCCAGGTCCAGGAGTTCCAAGGCGAATCCTCAAGTGGTGACCCTCCGGGTAGATCCAGGAGCCCGACCAGGCGCGACCCTGTCGACTCTGCCGCGCCGGGGGACTCGGGGGGGCCCGAACCGGTGGAGGGCTCCGAGGATTTTCTTTCTTCTGCTGCGTTCTCCTTTGCTCAGTCCGAAGAGTTCATTTCAGTCATGGGGGACGGGGGGATCTCCAAGGGCCCAGGGCGCATCTCGAGTGCATGGCAAGGCAGCTTCAGGAAGATGGCTGAAGTGGGGACTGGCGGACTTACACGAACGGCAATGTCGATACGTTGGCGCGTGCGAGCCCAAGCTCCGATCATCTTTCTCTGTCGCTCCTTTTCGAAAATGGACATGAGGTCAGGCGGAGGGATCTCGACGCTCGGGGTCGGGGAGCCTTCGAGCCGCCCGACGCTGACGAGTGGAAGGCGACGTTCGAGACAAAGGCTGTTCATGTCCATCCCCCCGAGATAAGACGTCAGCTCGGGAAAGCCTTTCCCAACAGGGTGGCGAGCTCGAGGATGGCGCGCCGGTGGAAGCTCCAAGAGGGCACGTTCGCTCCTCCCCAGGCGAAGTCTCGGTGGTGCGTCCGAGGTCACGAGGATGAGGACACCGCCGAGCTGCAGGTGCACGCCCCCACTCCTCAGATGGAGTCCCTCATGCTGTTTCTGGTTATTGCTCTGATGTATGGCCTCGAGCTGAATATGGGGGATTAAAACGCCTTCTGTCAGAGCGACAAGTTGCAGCGGCCCAGGGGGCGCGTGTTTGTGGAGCCCTGCGACGGTCTTCATTTAGAATCAGGCTCATTGATAGAGCTCATAGCCCCGGTGCACGGCCATGACGACGCCCCTCTCGCCCTCCACAAGACGACGGACGTTTTCATGTCTCAGCAAGGACTCGCTAAGGCCAGCATGGGGCCTTGCTGGTTCTATGAGCGGTCGGAGGGGGAACTTCGTTTTCAGGTCCTGGTCAAGGTGGATGACTGGTTGATCGCTGTTGCTCCGGACATTGCGGAGGACCGCTTGAAGAGCTTCACGAGCAGGTTCAAATTCGGTAAACTCAAGAAGATTGATCGACAGGGGACCGATTTCATTGGCCGCAGGGTTCGCAGGTTGTCAGACAGGGTGCTCATCGACAATGAAAATACATTCTTGCGAATCTCCAAAAGGTGACCTCCCCCGGGACCGGAGATCGAATCATTCCAGGACGTTGCTTCCGCACGAATTCGAGCGGTTCCGTTCTCTCATATACAAGCTGAACTGGGTCGACCGAGAGTCGCGCGCCGAGGCAGCGGGAGCTGCCTCGTTGCTGGCTTCTCGGTTGACTCAGGCGTGTATCGGTGACGTCTTGGAGGCCAACAATATGGTGGATCATCTTAGGAATACGGCCCAGACCCCACTCATCGTTTGGCCCTTCCGCCCGGGGAGAATGATTTTCGGCACCGCTAGCGACTGTGGTGGTGTCGGGGGTCTGGACAACAGTAAGATTCAGCAAGCGTGGCAGGTGTACGCAGTTGATGCTTCCATCCAAGACGGTCGTCTTTCCCGGATCACCCCAATCGCCTGGAGGTCCAGCCGGGCCCGACGTCAGGCCCCGTCCACTTTTGGGGGTGAAGTTTTGGCGTTGTCTGGCACGGTCGCGGGGGCCGAACGGTTTCAGACGTTGTTCCTGGACGTGACCCAGGGTGGACTTTTGACAGAACACTGGCGTGATAAGGTGGGCCCCTTCACAGCATTTCTTAAGCATGACCGCGAGCTGAACGTCGCCCCCCTGAGCAACTTTAACATCGTCGATGCCAAGGGCATTTTCGACACGTTGAGCAAGGAAACCAGCGGGTCGAAGGCCGACAGACGCATCGCCTTAGATCTTTCCGTGATCCGTTCGGTGATGACCCGAGTGGGAAGCCAGATACGTTGGGTCCCACACCCAGCCATGCCCGTAGACTCCCTCTCGAAATCGGACATCCAGAAGGGCGACTGGTCAGTGAGGAAGAGAGCATGCAGGACAGGGGAGCCAGAGCGGCCGGGAGAGATAGATCTCGCGCGTATTCCGAGAAGCATCTTCGTAAAGTACACGGATAATAAGCTATTTCAGGTCCGACGCCTTAGAAGTGTCGTGGCACGACTTGGACTCCGACCTACCTTGACAGGTCCCTCCCCCAGTGGTGGTAGTGGGTTCGGTTATATTTTGTTCTCTCCTCTTTATCTTCTCTCTCTCTCTCTTTCTCTCTCTCTCTCTGTCTCTCTCTCTCTCTCTCCACATTTTATCTTCCCGCGACTGGCGGGATGTGGTGTGTCTCGTTGCAAGCACGTTAGACTTCAGTTCCTTTTACAGTGTGTGTTGTATGTGGACGGATCCCAGCTCCCTGTCTCAGAAGACCTTGTTAAAGCTCAGAAAATTGGGTTGACCGACGATTTCCGTTTTAGAATGCCAACCCATGTGAGCTGTAAGTCTGAGAGTCTCGTGGGAAGTTGCATAGTGGGTTTCTGTCCATAGCCATTTGGGCACGAGGCACCTCTGTGTTTCGGGTTTGTCAGGACAAACCAGTGCGCGCCATCGCCATCGATCGTCCACGTCGGATTGGGTTTTGAAAGCAAGTGGATTCATAAAGAGAGAATGGGGGATGGGGGGAGGGAGGCGCGGGAGAGCAAGTAGGACAGGGGAGGGGGACTGGAGAAACCGAAGAAGGAGGGCGGAGGTTGGGAGGCGGGAAGGGGGCGGGAGGGGGGAAGATGGGGAAGGTGGCGGGATTGCGCACCGCTACCAGTTGGCTCCTAATCGTCGCCCAAAGTCCCTCCAGGGCATCTGTTCCGAAACGCACCCGCGTTTCCACCGCGCGCAAGGTTTCCGAGCTCACCCACGAAGGGCTCCGGGCGATCCCGGGTGCCCGTCAGATCGTCGATCAACCGATGCCCAAGTCCTTTCGCAGAGCACGGTCACGCGCACCAGTTTGCGCGCGAAGCGCTCGGTCTTCACCAAGACGGAGGCAGGCGCGTCCCATGGGAGAGGATAGGATGGAAGAGGGCGCACCGCTTCGGACAGTGTCACCGCCTGGACCCCTGATGCGCACGCGGACCTGCCTCGCAAAGCGGCAAGCGCCGCATGATAAACAGGGGTGGTGGGATGACGCGGACCAATGGGTCCCCGGTGGAAAAAAAAGACGGTCGGCGGTGATCAGACCCCACGGGGGCCCGTCTGCGCCACCGTACGCAGTGAGGCGCCAGCTTCAAGCGTGGGCTCGCATGCACGCCTCAACGCCCAACGAAAAGAGGCGCCGCATTAGGGCGTCCCCGGCAGCGGCCCAAGAGAGGCAGACAACGGAACAGGTGCAAACTGTTCACGCGGTCCGCGTGGAAGGGGGCTAGCATTGGTGCGCCGCATTTTGGGAGTTGAAGTGGGTCTGGAAATATCCCTAGAGCGTGGCTACTCTGGTCGCATCAGGGCGGAAAGCCCATCGTGTAAGAACCCAGGCCTCTTGAGCACGATGGAACCTGTCAATCAGCCGTGCTTACAGTTCCGTTCTCTGGTTAAGGGAAGTCACCAGTTGGTTGGTTTTCTAGCTACATGCTTGAATGCCGGCAGTGAGAGTAGTCTCGCGGTCTTCTTCTCGCTGGTGACTGGTCGCAGTGAGGTGCTGGGGGAGGACGTTCCTCCGATCAGTACGACGTTCTGCGGCCAGTCGGTTGCCAGCACCCTGGTGGGTGGTATTAGGGCCATTGGTCCCCGTTCCCTGGTGGGGCAGGGGGCGTGCCTGGTGGCAGGAAGCACTGCGTTGGGTGGGTGGGTGTGCAGTAGCACTGGCCAGCCGAGCGGTTTCGGGCGGCGGTGTTGGCCCCTGGTGCGGCGCAGTCCGCGACCCTTCACCTATTATGCGCAGGTCCTCTGCCAGATGGGGCAGGCGGTAACACTTTCGTCGGTGTGCACATCGGGAGTGTGGACGGTTTCAGATTTGGGTCTCTGTCTTGGGTGGACATAATCATTTTCACCATTGAAGGAGGCCCCAACACCAAGGGAGTTGAGGTCGTCAGCGGCGAAATCGGCCGCGTGTTGTAGCCAGTGGTCGTCGAGATCGTCGAAGAAGTCGGGACCTGGTGGTTCCGCCGCGGGAGGTGGTCCTCATTGTGCCTCAGTGCTTTGTCCTCCCAGGCTGGTGTTGGGCGGGTTAATTCATTTGGGAGTCTGTCCTGGAATATCCCGCACGTCTGTGGGGGAGACGGAGTGTGCGGTGCCCTTGATCGTAGATGGCGACGGCCGTAGTACGCAAGACCGCGGCGAACTTTTGGCGCCATCTGGCAGCGTCGGTGACATCTTGTGGGATGATGCGAAACCTATCCCCTACTGCGGCGAGTTCGTCGGCATGTCGGTCGAAAGCTTCTGCGATGGGCGTGATGCGGTCGTTGCTAGGGGTGGGTTTGATTAGAGCATGCACCGCCGGTGGCGGCATAGACCATCTGGCGCCACATCTGTCGGCGTATTCTTGGTCGGCGTCGTCGTCGTCGTCGTCAGCGGCGTTCCCCGGGACTGTCATCGGATGGGCTGTGGGAGCTCGTCCTCCGCCAGGGTGGCATGAAGGTCGAGCAGGGTGGGGTCCTCTTCAAGGAGGCCGCAGTGCCTGGTATGCGGTGGGGATCGTGCCGCTGTTGTTCGAAAATCGTTGTCTTGAGGGCAGTCCTCTGGTTAGCCCAGCAGCGGCATATCCAGACGGTGTGCTCTGGGGGTTCTTCTGCTTGATCGCACCACCTTTGATATAATGGGAGAGGGAGGGACGAAGATGAGAAAGGGGATAGGCGGGGAAGAGTGGGAGGGCTTTGCTCTGGGTCTCCGGCCTTCTGTATGTGGGCAGACAATGGAGCGCAGCGGTTTGCTCCATTGTCACGCGCTGGGCTGTGGTGCGCGCTGCTGGGACCTTTGGCTCGCCGCAGAAGCTAAAGGGTATTTAGCGGCACCACGAGGCAGGCAAAATGGCGTCGTCCCACGTTCTCCAGTTGCCATAAGCTGTCATACGATCAGGCGCGTGTCATGTTTCTGTGCCTGCGCGTGCTATATGTTATGTTGGTGCCTGAGTCGTCTTCAGAGATGTGAGCGCATGAACGCAGGCGCATGACGCAATGAAATGGTGCATGTGGTGTGCGGCATGTTGCGTATGTCAACGAGTGTGTCCCCAACGCCTTTCGTGGAATTGACATTTTGTTACGCAAGTGATGAGCAAAGGCAGTGCCATTTGTGCAGCGCAGGTCGTACTTTATCCAGGTGCCTATAGTGAATCCCGCCACAGTGCCAGCGCAGTTTCGATACGCACGCAGCATTGTGTTCTCGAGCTCTCCCGAGCAGGCTTGGAAGAATCATCTTGAGGCTGTAAGGGAGGCAGCGCGGCAGTGTTGTAGCGAGGCGTGGCTGTGAGATTGTTTGTTTTTGTTGGGCTTGTTGGGGGTGGGGGGGCCTTCGAGGCCTATCTGGTGTTTTCTTTCGAGTTTCGTGGGGGCCCATTGGGGTATTCTCCGAGGCCTCTGGCGTGCCCGCCTGGGCCATGTTGGGATCATGGGTCCGTCTTTCGCTCGATGAGTCTGCCGAGCTCTCCCGATCAGGCTCTTCAGAACCGCCTTGAAGGCCCCCAGGGGCGGTCCTGGGTTGGTTTGGGAGGTTCTCGGGCCGTTTGACGGCTTTACCGATGCTGCGTTGGACCGTCTGGGGGGACTCTGGGGGGGTCCACTGGGGCGCCCTTGGCTCTTAAGTCTTCACGAGGACTACTGGGCGCGAAGGCTCTGAGGATTGCATCGGACACGTTGAAATTTTCTGTTTTCTGGGCGCGCTGGGGCTTTGTTGGAGGGTTCGGTGCCCTTGTGGAGCGTCTTGCGGCCTGTCAGGTCATCTTGGGAGCAGCCTGAAGCATCCTCAGGTGTCTCTGGGCCGCCTCAGGCCGGTCCTTGTGGGGCATGTGGCAGCCGTATTGGGGCCGAGATGCGTGCCAAGGAGTAGCCGTCGGCCGTTCGTCGTGGGGCTGGGCGGTTCCTGAACAGGTTCGGGGGGTCGATTTTTAGCGGGGGGTCTACAGGCAGACCGCATCACAAGGATGAGTAGTTTGCCGAGGGTGCCCTCGCATCCTTGCCTTTTCGGCCATCCTTGGCCTGATTCGCTGACAAAACCCCTCGAACAAATATTCCGCTTGGGTGTGTAAGGGCCTTGCATCCTTACCGTGAATCCCCATTGTCCTGTCGCATTGTACACATCCAGCATCGCGAGACGTTCGCGACGGCCTTTCCACTCGTCACTGGGGCCATCAAAGAACAGCCGCGTCGAGAAGGAGGCAAGGAGATGGGGTCGAGAGCTTCGCTCGACAGCGCAGCGGAAGCATCATGGCACTGGATGTCTGTTGTCTGTCTGAACCTCTCTCCTGGGCGCGCGCTTCCGCGCTCTGGGCAGCGCGCTTGGAAGGAAGCGGTGGAGGATGTGAAGGAGAAGGCCCTGGTTCTTCTTGAACATGCCTTGGGAGGTTGCACCATCTTTTTTAGCTCGGCGTGTTGGAAACGGTGTTTAGCGTTGCTGTAGCGTCTCCAGCCTGTCCAGAGTCCACAGTGCTGAACAGCTGCAAAACAAAACCCAGGGCGCGCTTGAGAAGAACCAAGGAGACCGCGGAGTAGGAGCGGGAAGAGTGGAAGGGAGGAGGGACGAGGAGGAAGGGAGGGGGAGGAGGAAAGCGTCGCGGAGGACGCAGGAGGAGAGGGGAGGGGGCAAGCTGGGTGCCCTCGCGCCAAGTCTGACAGCCTACCATCCCACCCATTTCTTCCCACTGCGTTGGATCCGTTTCGATCCGCCGACTGGGGTGTCCTTAAGGACCGTTATCCTCAAATTGCAGTGGCATGATTTAAGCCACCGTATGATGTGCAATTGGGACGGGAGGCCATTCAAAGTGTATAGCAGAAGAGGAGGAGAAGGAGGCGAATTCATATGGAGGAGGTTGCCGAAGCAGCAGGAGGAGCATGAGGATCAGTGGAAGGCGAAGGAGGGGCAAGGAGTGGGACGGCAATTGTGAAGAAGTGATCGTACCCACAAGCGTGACATGTCCCCATCTACAGGGGGCATAACGTCCTGAATGATGTAGTCTCTCGTCCTTGCGCTGCATCGGACGCCTCCTTCGTAAGTTTTCTTGAAGCCAGTGGAAGAGGAGTATTAGGATCCATTATCTCGTCCTGTTCCCCTGAGCCGAACACTATCCTTGTCCTTGTTCTGCGATTCTCTCATCGATGGGAGCGTCTTCAATTATTCACCCCCTATTGAATTTCACTGCGCTGGATTTATCCAACTTGCCCCGTTCGTCACGAAACATATGATGACTCATTATTATTCAATTTGGGCGATTGGAGGCCCGATTCTGGCCCAAGGGCCATCCAAAGCACCCAGGGTGAAAAACCGGTCCCCAAATGAGGTCCAGCGGTCCAGGGACGCAATTGATCTGAAAACACAGAGCGCCTCCTTCGTCAAACTTCTCGTCCCACCTTGGACTGCTCCGTGTCTGTCCCTCTTCTCACCATCTCCCCACCCCCCCTGTATCATTGCCTCTTCTGCCTTGGACCCACCCCCTGTCCCTTCACGAGGCCTCCCACTCCATCTCCCCCCTGCCCCGGGGAGAGGGAGACCATACGCACATCAGCAGCGGGCATTCAGGTGCCATTTCGGGGACCGGTGTCTGCGGCCTCCCGGCCTGGCCCGAAGCCAGCTTGGGCCTTGCACTGGCCTGCGGAGACCTTGTGCTGGGCCTGGCAAGGCTTCGGGTTGCGCACAGACAGCCCCCGGCAGGTAGCCCCGGCTGGCCTGACCAAGCCCCTGAGCAGTCCCAGCCGGCCTCAACCGAACACCCGAGTAGACCGAAGCGCCGCGGGCAAGGATGCCGAGACCGCTCCAAATTACTTCGGCGGAAGTGACCTGCTCTCGCTGTCCTGCGTGCCCGTCAAGTCGGTGACCGTCGCCGCTCTCACCGTACTTAAAGCCGCTCCCGATGGCCTCGCACATGCTGCGTCTGTTTTCTCGATCTTCCGCTTGACATGCAACGATGTCGTGGTCTCCTCCGTGATGAATGCTGCAGGTGTTTGCGGCACCAGGTAAGGATCCTCCTGCGTGCCTCCATGCGTCATGATCGTCGGGCTGACGGGCTCCGTGAAGACAGGGAGGGGCGGCGGTGCCATGAGTCCACTCACGAATGGTGTCGGCGATTCCTCTCTGCGCTCTGCTATCATTCTTGGTGATGTTGGCTCCATCGGCTCGCAATATGGTGTTCTCTGTGTTGGCGGGATCGATGGCGAGCTTGGTGCTTTGGCGGGGCCAGGCGTCGGCCAAGAGCCCTCTAGGAGTAGAGGGTACTGGCAAGGCCGACGCAGGGGTCTTCGGGGCAGGCACTCCTGTGGGCGCGACGGGCGCTGGGCCTGCCCCTGCAGTAAACCCCGTTGGCGCATGCACCGACTGCATCCGTCCCAAGACTGAGTTCATCATGTGCTCCTGCTTGGACTGCCTGGCTTCCATGGCCTGCAAGAACTTCAACATCTCGTTCACTTCCGTCTGCTGAGTCTGAGCCTGATGTTGCATCTGCTGCTGCTGCTGCTGCTGCTGCTGCTGCTGCTGCTGCTGCTGCTGCTGCTGCTGCTGCTGATGCAATCGCTGCTGTTGCATCTGCTGATGCTGCGTCTGGTTCTGGTACTCGTGCTGTTGAAGCTGCCGTTGCTGTAGCGCCTGCTGCTGCTGCATCTGCTGATGCTGGAAAGCCTGCTGCGGCTGGGGCGGTGGTGCAGACGGTGGTCCCGACGGTGGCGGAATCGGTGGCTCCACTGCCATGGGCGCCTCATAGTTGTTCTGTCCCAGTGGCGAAATGATCTGACCATCCGCCGAAAAAAAGACGCCGTTCGCCATGCCATCCAACTTGAAGTACTGCGGCGGCACCTGCTGCAACGGCTGCTGCTCCATATGCCAGGCATTTGGGACTTGTCCTTGATGACCAGCCTCCTCTGGCTCGTCGGGCAACTCATGCAGCTCTCTGGCTGGGCGATCTCCACTTTATCTCCTGCCCCTGAACCGCCAAGTCCTTCATCCTGCTTCTTGTGGAGGAGTGCCTGTCGCGGCTCTGGTCGAGCTTCCAGTTGATGTCCGTCTTCTGTTCTCGCACCGGTTGAAGACTGGACAACGCACTCTTCAAGACCATCAGCTCCATGTCGTGTCTCTCCGCGTCATCTATCTTGCTCGCACGGCGTGTAAGCATCGACATATTCGCCACCTTCTCCCTGTGACTCTGTATGTCTTGTCGAAACGTTGCCTGATCCTGAACCCTGCTCGGCGGTGTCCGATATGCCGAATGGGTCCTTGCAGCTCTGTGCGGCATCGGCGGTAGCCTCTAGATGTAGTTATTTAATCGCTTCGCTCATTCCGCCGGCCCATATTGTCGCACAGTTGTGGGCTAGCCGAGTTTTGGGGCCTCTTGGGGGCCGTTTTGGGGCCTCTTGGGGCCTCTTTTGGGCCTCTTGGGCGCCTCTTGGGGCGTCTTGGGGGCCTCTTGGGGGCCTCTTGGGGCCTTTTTGGGGCCTCCTGGGCGCCTTCTGGGGCGGAGGGCTCGATTTTTCAGTTCTCGGTTCCCCTCTTGAGCCCCTCTTGGGCCCGTCTTGGGGCCTCTTGGTCCGTCTTGGGCGGCACTTGGGCCGTCTTGGGGGCCCTCCTGGGCCGTTCCGGGGCCGTCTTGGGAGCCTCATGGGCCGTCTTGGAGCGGTCTTGGGGGCCTCTTGGGCCGTCTTGGAGCGTCCGGAAGCCGAAAAAGCCAGAACGCAAAAAACAGCGAAAAAAACAATGAAAATCAACGATTTTGGCCTCTTGGGGCCCTCTTCGGAGGCCTCTTGGAAGGCCCTTGGGGCGTCTTGGAGGCCTCTTGGGCTGTCTTGGGGCCCTGTTGGGCGTCTTCGGGCGATCTTTGGCCGTCTCGGGGCCCTCTTGGACCGTCTTGGAGGCTTCTTGGGGGCCTCTTGGCCCGTCCTGGGGCCCTGTAACAGGGCTCCGGCATCTCTGGCCCGACCTTGCGGGGACCTTGCCGGGGACCTTGCCGGGGACCTTGCCGGGGACCGGCCGGGACCTGGTCGGGGTACTTTTCGTCTGGGGACCCCCAGGGGCCGCCCCGCGCGCGCGAAGTAGAAACATTGTAGAGCAGTTACCGGAGATCTTAGCACGCCTCTGGCCCGTTGGGCCGGCGAATTGATGGCACCGTCGTCTTGCCGATGTCTGCTGGCGGAAGGAGCCCGTGGGCGGTTGTCTCTGTAGTGCTGCCCGCATAGGCACCTGTTGTGCCACTTCTTGGTGTCCCTGCTGCAGTCCACGCACTTCCACGTCCCGTACGTCATCGAGATGTGGTGAGCCTCCAGCCTGCCTCTCGCGGCGTCCAGCGCCACGATTATCATTGCGTTGTGTCGTAGCTGCCTCTCTCTCTGCGATGCCACGCTGGCTAGCGCGGCTTGCAAGATTGAGAAAAAGAAGAGAGAAAGATCCTTGCTGTCGCGGTGCTCGCTGGAGCACGCGCCTGGGGTCTGGCCTCAGAAAGGATGTACGGTATCGGCATGCCCTGTGGGATCTCAGGCCAAACCCTCTCCTCCTCATCCTCCTCCTCATCCTCATCCTCCTCCTCCTCATCCTCCTCCTCGCCCTCGGCTCGCGCGGGCCCCGTGCACCTCTCGGCCCGAGGGGCGCGGGCCAGGCTCAGGGCCGGCCGGTCCGCCCTCGCGTGTTTGGGGCGGCTGGCCGCGCCCCCATGAGCGGCTGCCCCGGGTTCGGCCGCGGGTGTCGGCAGGAGCGGTCTTCCTGGCAGCGCCGAGGGATGTCACCGCCGCTGGAGGAGCAAGATGTCTCAGGAGCGAAAGAAGGACGGACGTACACGTACCTGAATCCACTGTGGTTTCACAAGTACGCAGTGCGCGAAAGTTTGTATGACGAGGCAGGTCTCGCGGACTGGGGGGCCGTATTCATGTACGTGGTTGGGTGCGTACGTTTTTCGCGGGCATCGAGGAATCAGGAGGAGAGGGGGCGAGGATCGACGGAGTCTTTGGAGGACGTTTTGGGCGCGTTGGTCGGTTCTGGAGGGAAGGGGGGGGACCGTCCCCTGCATCCTGAGGACCCCCTCTGGTGGTGACCCCCTCTCGGCAGTAGCACAGCCCAGTCCATGCTTCGATGGCGCTGGACGTTTCCCACCCTGTTTGGAGCCTGGGCGCCTCTCGTCGCCACGGCTGGACTCCCCACAAGATCCAGGAGTGATCCGTGTGAGTCTGGTTGCGAACGAGTCTGAACACGAGTGGCTCAGTGGCGGTGAGCCTGGGCATGAGTGGATTTGAATGTGAATGGGTCGGGGTAAGAGCACGCCCGTGAAACACCTGGCCAGCTTCCCCTTGGGAGGCCAATTTTCATACATGCTACAGTTCCATGGTACTGAAGCTATGGAAAAGTACGTCTGCCCCGCCAGAACGGCAACTCGGCATGAGCGGTTCCTGCCATATGTGCCCAAACAGGCCCGTGAAACACTCGTGGTCGCCTCTACCTTGGGAGGGCCAAGCGCCCTGCCTGCTACATCGCGATGATGTTTCGGTGCCTGAAACAAGGGGCACGTCTACCTCGTCAAAGCGGCCGTTTTAATTCAGAGGTCCCACAGTTTGGGTGCCAAGGGGCCGTTGTAACACCCTTGGTCGGAGCGGGAGGCCCAACTTGCAATGCCTGCTACATCGGGATGGTCTTGCGGCCTTGGAAGTGAAACGTCTACCCCGCCAAAACGGCAATTCTACTTGAGAGGTCCCCGCCATTTGAGCGTGAACGGGTCGTGAAGCATCTGTTGTCGCCCCCCCCCATGGGAAGTCCGAATGCCATGCCAGCTACATCGCGGTGGGTGTGATTGCGATTGAGTCCGAAAATGAACGTGACTGGGAGTGGGTCACTCTGAGTACGCGTCTGAGCGTGAGCGAGCCGTAGTACAAGTGAGCCTGAGTTTGCTTTTGTCTGAATCACGCGTCGGAGTATGAATATGAGTGTGCCTGACTACGAGTAATTTCTATTACTCATAGTGTGAGAGAGTCGGAGTATGAGTGAGTCTGAGTCGAGTCTGAATGTGCGAGTCTCGGTATTGATAAACGAGTCTTGATCTTGTGATATGGCGAAAATCACCCGCGAAAGCTCTGGGGATGTACGCCTCGTGAGCAATCAGCGATACCGAGACGGGTACCAATTGACTGGTGCTCTGGCAGCGCGCAGGAACATGCAGGGTAATGCAAGTTTCGCGCGAGATGATGCAGAGCAGTTCCAGTAAAACGCCACTTCCCTGCATCGACCAGAGCCCCTGTCTTCAGAGTACCCGTCAGGGTGGCGCAGAAACAAAAAAAAATACATTCACACATCTGGTCCGAAGCGTCCCGTGCGACAGGGCCCAGATGGACGCCCGAGGCTTCAGACAGGCCCGAGAGCTGGGGGCGCACTGGGACAGGAACACCTCCGCCTGTCGACACCTGCTCAGCCCCCCTGGACTCGGTCACCCTCCGGACAGGGAGGGGGGAAGGGCCCCCCTGGAGTCAGCTTCGGAAGCTGGCAATTATGTACCACCACCACCCTGAGATCCTGGCGTCTTAATTTTTTCGAGGCGGACGTTTCCGTGTTTTGTTCAGACCCCGAGACCTCGCAGATCGATCCAGCTCGAAAAATGACGCAGAAATATTTGGTCTAGGGCTCCCGACGTGATTTTTGACGATGTTGTAAGAGTTTCGCTACGTCGGATCCCAGGGCAGCCTTGGCCAGGGTCCACACTGGGCCCCGCACTGAAGCATATGTACGTCCTCGGGCACACCGGTCCAGAGCCCAGGTTGGGCCTGGCCAGGGCCGCGTGGAGGTGTACAGCTGCTGGCTCCCGATCAGCCCTCCTCCGTGCTTTGGACCCTTCTGGATTCAGCCCCGCGGCTGCCCCTGGTGGAGCGGTGGGCCCCGCGGCCGCTCTGGGAGTGGACCCCTCGGTGCTGGGCGCCGCAGGAGGGACCGCTCCCTGCAGGCCAGGCGCCGCTGGTGGAGCGGTGGGCCCCGCGGCCGCTCTGGGAGTGGCTCCGTCGGTGCTGGGAGCCCTTGGCGCCCCCGCAGCCGCCCTTGGTGTGGGGAGCGGTCCCCCCGGGCCGGGTGCCGCTGGTGGAGCGGTGGGCCCCGCGGTCGCTCTGGGAGTGGACCCCTCGGTGCTGGGCGCCGCAGGAGGGACCGCTCCCTGCGGGCCAGGCGCCGCTGGTGGAGCGGTGGGCGCCGCGGCCGCTCTGGGGCTGGCTCCGTCGGTGCTGGGAGCCCTTGGCGCCCCCGCAGCCGCCCTGGGTGTGGGGAGCGGTCCCCCTGGGCTGGGGGCCGCTGGGGGCCCCGCGGCCGCTCTGGGAGTGGACCCCACGGTGCTGAACGCCCTAGCCTGGGGGGCTGGTCATTCGGGACTGGGCGCCGCTGGTGGAGCGGTCGGCGCCACCAGAAGCAGTCCTGCTGCGGGGCTCAGCCCGGTGAGCCAGGTCGCCTTCCAGCAGGCCGCGGCCCAGGCCCGAGGGAGCTATACAAGGGTGAGCAGAGGGGGGGAGGATCGAAGAACAAACGACGGCATAAGCATAAATTCTCGGAGCTCCGCTCGGGTTTCCCTCCCTGGCGCGCGGAGCGCGCCAGGGGCGGCGCCGGAGGCGTCCATAGGGCGGCCCAGCGCCGATCTAAAATATCCGCGCGTCTCAGAGGAACTATGTTCATGTAACTTGTCCTTGTTCTCACAAGGGTAAGCAGAAGGGGGGCAGACGGAGGGCGGCGCAGGCGCCGGAATAAGGACCACTTTGGATTCTCCTTAGATTGGTGTCGGGGGCTCGGGTTTTCGGGCCATTCCTTAGATTGATGTCGGGGGCCTACCCGTGGTCGATGCTCGCCGTGTCCCCAAATGGGTTCATCGTTTCTCATGCAGCGCTCCTCATGGTAGCACGATGGCTGCAGGGGGGAGGGGGAGTTGGAAGGACAAATTGGAGGAGGACCATGAGCAGAAGGAGGAGGAGATGTGGATGGTGACGATGACGAGGACAATGGAGGGGGGAGGAGCAGGAGGAGGAGAAGGAGGAGGAGGAGGAGGAGCAGGAGGCGGAGGACGACGACGTCGATGACGATGACGCCAAGATGATGTTTGTGCGGAGGAGCGTGAGTGAAACACAGAGGCTTGTGTCAGCCCGAGCAGACCCCAATTCGCCGGCCCAACGGGCCAGAGGCGTGCTAAGATCTCCGGTAACTGCTCTACAATGTTTCTACTTCGCGCGCGCGGGGCGGCCCCTGGGGGTCCCCAGACGAAAAGTACCCCGACCAGGTCCCGGCCGGTCCCCGGCAAGGTCCCCGGCAAGGTCCCCGGCAAGGTCCCCGCAAGGTCGGGCCAGAGATGCCGGAGCCCTGTTACAGGGCCCCAGGACGGGCCAAGAGGCCCCCAAGAAGCCTCCAAGACGGTCCAAGAGGGCCCCGAGACGGCCAAAGATCGCCCGAAGACGCCCAACAGGGCCCCAAGACAGCCCAAGAGGCCTCCAAGACGCCCCAAGGGCCTTCCAAGAGGCCTCCGAAGAGGGCCCCAAGAGGCCAAAATCGTTGATTTTCATTGTTTTTTTCGCTGTTTTTTGCGTTCTGGCTTTTTCGGCTTCCGGACGCTCCAAGACGGCCCAAGAGGCCCCCAAGACCGCTCCAAGACGGCCCACGAGGCTCCCAAGACGGCCCCGGAACGGCCCAGGAGGGCCCCCAAGACGGCCCAAGTGCCGCCCAAGACGGACCAAGAGGCCCCAAGACGGGCCCAAGAGGGGCTCAAGAGGGGAACCGAGAACTGAAAAATCGAGCCCTCCGCCCCAGAAGGCGCCCAGGAGGCCCCAAAAAGGCCCCAAGAGGCCCCCAAGAGGCCCCCAAGACGCCCCAAGAGGCGCCCAAGAGGCCCAAAAGAGGCCCCAAGAGGCCCCAAAACGGCCCCCAAGAGGCCCCAAAACTCGGCTAGCCCACAACTGTGCGACAATATGGGCCGGCGGAATGAGCGAAGCGATTAAATAATGTCCAACGTTGGGATCTTTGGAAGCCCATTTGAGGCCTCTTAGTGGTCCTGAAATGGCTCTGGTCTCTCATCGGGGCCTTTTGGGGAGCTCTTGTTTGGGGGCTCTGGGGGCTCTGATCGTGGCCGTGATCCTTGTGTCGGGGCTGGCTCATCTGACGTCGACGGGCCGTGTTTTTTAAGAACTGACCTACTTGTTGTGTTGTTGGCCTCTCGCCGTCGCTTGTCCGGGCGTCGCCCCCTCCTGGCCTCCTCCTGTGTCGACGAGCTGGCGCTGTAGTTCGTTCGGAGGCGCGCCTGATGTTGTTTCTGTTGTTAGCAGCCGAGACTCAGGCGTCTTGCTAATTTGCGGTCCTCTTGGATCGCTTGTCGGCTCCTCTCGGGGCTCACTTGGGGCATATTGGGGTCAACGGAGCCCTGTCACACCCATCGGAGGTGAACAGCCGAGAACGCCCAAAAGATACAAACACATGTTCATGTTGGCCTCCCGGGAGCATCTTTGAGAGGCTCAATGGCCAGTTCCAGTGACATGTCGGCCGTCTTGGTCCTACTGCAGGCATGTAGCCAAGTTTGGGCGTTCTTGGTCCAAATGGGGCCATCTTGTCCCATCGCGGAGACCATCTATGAGGCCATCTTGCCCATTGCCCCCCTCCAGTCACTGGCCTTGGCGATGTGATCGATAGATCCAGGGGGGCACCTCGTGGAAAAATCACGGCCTCGGGCATCTGTGGAGGTCGACGTTTTTGCACGCACACGTGATTTGAGAAGGTGTGTAGCCAATTGCGTGTGGTCGCAGGAGTCTCTTTGGAATTGTCACGTTGCCCACATAGGTGCACTGTGGCGCTTGCGATTACTCCACACGCGTACATCACATGTGCCCAAGCCCGCGTGCGCACGCGCAGATAACCATTATTTTTCGTGGAGACACCTCTTGGGTCGTGGCGGGCCCGTCTCGGACAAGTGAATCCCCCCTGGCAGGCTATGGCGGCTGCAACTGGTCAGCCGCTGAGCAGCGTTACGCCTGCAGAAAAGCCTGTGCCATTTGTCCTCGGGATCCTGCTCACGCAAGAGTCGCAGCTGACTCTAAACGGATATCCGCCAGACGCTCCGGCGCTTGTCTACGACAAGTCTATGTCGGAAACGTTCAATATAGCGAACGTAATTTTGCCAGAACTCGTCACCAACATGACCACAGACGTTGTCCTGAACCACGACGCGGACTGGCAGAATTATCCGGAGGTCGGGAAGGCCGTCGTGGCCGCCGGGGGCGAGGAGAATTGTATTTGCGTGGCCATCTGCCCGTCCAGGGGCAAGTGGGGGGTCGGGCTGGGCGGCGGGTGGAAGACGCGCGAGGCTGCCGCCAAGCTGGCGCTGAGTGTGGCGCTCGCGCAAGGGCACGCCAAGTACCAGATGATCTGCCAGGCTTTCCCAGAGTTCGACAAGCTGTGCAGGGGGGAGTGCTCGCCGCAGGCGCTTCCTGGGTCCAGCCGCCGCGGGGGCAATGGGGCGGCACCAGCACCGACCACTGCCTATGGTCCAGCTCCGGTCACCAAGTGGATTACGCTCACGGAAAAGTCCGCGATCACATCTGAGGGTTATGGCCACGAGGCTCCGGTTGTGCTGCACAGCAAGGATTTCCAGGAGCTGTTCAGCTCCTCGCACCACATGCTGACAGAGCTCATCGGCAACGTGGCCGGAAACGTCAAGATGACCCACGACGCGGATTGGTCGATTTTTCCCGAAGTCGCACGTGCCACGAAGGCGGCGGGTTGCGAGGACCAGTGCATGTGCATCGCCACTTGCCCAGACCACAGCGCCTGGGCGGTCGGCCTGGGGTCTGGGTGGAAGACTCGAGAGACCGCAGCAAAGATCGCGCTGTGCGTGGCGCTCACCATGAACGCCCCGCAGGCTCTGGCCACGCTGGTGGGCTGGTACCCGCAGTTTGGGGCTGTCTGCGCTCAGGTTGGCCTGCACGTGAAGGCCCAGCCCAGGAACTCTTCCGACGGCCCGCCCGAGAAGAAGGCGAGGTCTTATTGATCGGGTCGGACGACCGAAGGAGGGGAGAGAGAGAAGGGCGGGGGTACGAAATCTGCTGCATGCAGCTGGTTTCGGCCCTGCCGCCGGGCGCCTTCCTCAATGCATTGACGCCTCTGGCGCCAGGAAAATCAACTACGGTAGCTGATTCGCCAACCTCCCCTCTACTGACCCCTCCGCTTCATCCGACCCGAACTGAGCGACGCCCCCGCGGAGACCGCGATTCCAGGTGACACCGTGCTCGGGTGCGACGCCTGGTCACGCTCTTCGGTTTTTCGAGAACGGCTACGACATCCATTCGGCAGAGGCTCGCAGACAATGTGTACACCCACCAATCCAGGCCTGCCCCGCTCACCCCCTCCTCCCTCGCCGCCAGCGACGGAGGACGGGGAGGAGGGGGGAGGGGATGAATGGATTGGTGGCCGCATGTAACGTGGGCATCCTTAGGTGACCCCGTGCGACAGGGCGGTAGCTGCCGCGCGGAGGAGCAAATACAAATGTGTCTGCGAGTGTGATGTTATGAAAGATGCGCTCATCGGGCTGCCGGACCCCGTCTTCGGTTCTGCTCGTCTTCCATCTCTAGCTCTTCGGGGGTAGGCGCTGGAGTTTCAAGGGCCTGCCGCCATTCATTTCTTGTTCTGAGCGCCCTGTGGCCAAGAAGCTATATGCAGAATCAGGAACGAGCGGATTACGTGACGACGTTCGTACTTCTGCTTCATCCCCGGGACATCCCACGTCGACCACCTTTATCCCTTCGGTGTAGCGGCCTGTTTTCTGTGCATTGGCAGCGGGGGTATCCGAATTGCGCGAATCTGCCACAGCGCTTGGAGATGGCAGGGTGTCAAGAGGGGGCGGTTGGGGTCAGGTGGTAGAGACATCCAGCGTTCACTCTGGACATCAAGCCCCCGAGGTCGTGAATGTATCGTCCGTGGCTATTTTGGCTCAAGTCGTGTTGGCTCGAGCAACCCCGACAGCAGCGTCCCTCCTGAGCAACCGCGCCAGCTCCCGCTCTGCCTTGTAGGCCGGCGGAAGTGAACCGATGGCGGGTCTGCTAGCGGAAGGCGGCGGAAGTAAGAGGGAGACGTCGACATGTTCGGATTCAGGGTTTCCGGAATCGGCCATGCACCTGTGCACATGTAATATAGGGTGTGATCACATACACAGATATATGTTGGTCGTCGTCGTCGGCGTCGTCTTCTTCATCCGACTCGTTTTGCGTCAAGCGGCCTCCGGATCCTCCTACTATCGCCGAGTATTGGCACAGAGATTGCAGTGATGATAATTTTGTTTCTGACATCTCTCATCGGAGTTAGTATGAAGGGGTCAATACGAAATTTCAAATTGTCAGTGTCGTATCTGTTCGATGCGTCCATGTTGCAGTATGCCACGGCTGTCACGTGGGGATTTCTCATCCACAATCTCCCAGATCTGTTGAGGCTTTGCCTTGCGACAGACATTACAGTCGTGACACCCATGCTTCTGACGCCTGTAATCGGTAGCTTCTTCTGCAGGAGCCGATGTGAAGCATCACGTTTTCCCTGCCTTAGTCTCTCAACGAATCTGCCGCAGCTCAGAGATTTAATGGTCGAGGTCATGTCAATTCAATGTCCCTGTATCGTTGAAGGTGCCCAGAGCGTTGGCGCAAAGATTGCAATGATGACAAGCCTGCTTCTGACACCTCTAATCGGAGGCTTCTCCTGCAGCGGCCCATGCGAAACGTCAAGCGATCCCTGTCTGAGCTGTTCAGCGCGTCCTTGCCAATTCAGTGGCAGTCAAGTGGAGTGTTTCCCCAATTAGGCTTTGCCTCAGGGGTTCTTACAGTCGACGCGCCTAGAAAGGACGCGCGCCTTCATCTAGGGTGCCCTTGTGCCCTTGCCTCTGCGGCCCGTCCTGTGCCGCTTTCGCTGGTCGCCCTCCGCCCAACAAATCCCAATTTCGGCCTCCAATGGTATAGCTTCCGTACCACCCGTCCTTAATAATGACACGTTTCGATTGTAGGCTTAGTTTCAGGGGCTCTCATCTGCTTTTGAAAGAAACCGGTGGGCGCGGGGCCCTTCCCGGCCGGCGCTGGTCTGAGTTCCTCGGGGATGCCCGGGGTTGTGCCTGGGCGGCCCCCAGCGTGGCTCGCGGGGCTGCCCAGGGCGCCAAGCCATGCCGAGCAGAGCCAAGCCATGCAGTTCAAGGCCATGCCGAGCAGCGGCCAGCAATGCAGAGCAGCGTCGAGCAACGACAGGCAATGCGAAGCCATGCGAAGCAATGCCACCCAATGCCACCCAATGCCAAACGAGTCGGAGCAACGCAAAGCAATGGCAAGCAAGGACGTCAAGCAATGGCAAGCAATTCGGAGCCAAAGCCAAGACAAGCCAGGCGTTGCCAAGAGCTTCCAAGCAGGGCCAAGCAATGCCAAGCAGCGCAAATCGGTGCCAGGCAACGCCAAGCAAAGTGATGCCAAGCAATGCCAGACAATGTCAAGCACTGGTACCAAGAAATGCAAAACAACGCTAAGCAACGATCAGCAATGCAAAGCAAAGCCAAGCAGTGTTAAGCATTGGTGAGCAATGTCAAGCAATGCCACAGAACGACAAGCAATGCAAAGCAAATGCCCAGCAAAGCCATGCAATCCAAAGCCATACAAAGCAATGCACATTAAAGTAGCAACGGGAAGCCAAGCAATGCCAAGCAGGGTTAGGCAATGCCAAATAATGTTAAGCAACGTTTGCCAATGCCAAGCAACGCCAAGCGGCGCAGAGCAACACCACTCACTGCCAAGTAATACCAAGCAATGCCAAGTAATGTCAAGCATCGTTGCTCAATGCCATGCAACGCAAAGTCACACCAATTAATGCCAAGCAATACCAAGCAACGCCAAGCAACACCAACCAATGCCAAGCAGTACTAAACAACGCCAAGTAATGGCGAGCGATGCAAAGCAATGCGAAGTAATGCCAAGCAACGGTTCCAAGCAATGCAGAGCAATGCAACACAATGCCAGACAATGTGTTGCATTTCATTGCTTTGCATGTCTCAGAACGGCCCTGAATTGCTTTGGAAAGTAGACGACCCCTAATTGGAGTCGCGTTGGGTTTGTGTTCTCAAGCCCTTTCCTAGGCAGGTTGAGCTTTCGTCGTGCGGCAAAGCTTGCAGTCGTGGCAATGGTGTTTATCACACCTCTAATCGGATTCTTCCCCCTGAAGAAGCCGATGCGCAATACCAAAGTATTCTGTCTGAGTCTCTTACGCATCTGCTGGTTGTTCACTGCTCTCCTTCCCCTATCCTACTTTGTCGGGTTGCGTGCGTGCGTACATATGTCTCAGCCGATAGTGTCAGAGTCCTCGGGCGACTACACGCACACTGAGAGGAGTCATGCTTGTTGTTCTCGGATTCCACGCATGGAAGCGAGTGCAGGGTAAGCCGCACGTGTGCTCCAGTCGCTTGGATTTCCGCACTAGAAGCTCGGTCTGAAGACATACTCGAATATTTCGTTTGATGTTTTGCCGCGCAGTTCCTCTCTCTCTCACGCACACACAACTCATTTGTGTGTCAAGGCCTCCAGTGCCCGATGTTTAGAGGCCAGCTCAAACCCCGCTTGGGGCTGCATGCACGTGTGGGCCTCATGCCCTGCAGTATCAGTTGCCGCGATAGTGATTGGAAAAGTTGGCTTTCTCTTTCCCAGATATATCTGGACGCCTTCGGCGATACGAACGCTACGTACGCGTCCAGCAGCCTGACCTGGAAGCCTCCGACATGAACACGCGAATCGTTCCGTAACAGATTCATCACAAGTGTGTGGGTTTGTGGGTGTGTGGGTGGGTGGGTGGGTGGGTGCGTGGGTGGGTGGGTGTGTGGGTGGGTGGCTGTGGGTGTGCGTGCGTGCGCGTCTGCGTGGGGCGTGCGTGCGTGCGTGCGTGCGTGTGGGGGTCAGGGACGTGGGGGCGTGGAGGTGTGGTGGGTGTGTGGGGGGGTGGGGTGGGTGGGTGGGGGGGGTGGGGGGGGCGGGGGGGCGGGGGAGGGGGGCTGTGTGGCTGTTTGGCTGTGTGGCTGTGTGGATGTGTGGGTGTGTGGTTGTGTGTAGTATGTGTGGCTGTGTGGCTGTGGCCGTGCAGCCGTGTGGCCGTGTGGCTGTGTGGTTGTGTGGCTGTGTGGCTGTGTGTGATTGTGTGGTTGCGTGTGGGTGTGTAGCTGCGTGTGGGTGTGTGGGTGTGTGTGGCGGTGTGGCTGTGTGTGGGTGTGGCTGTGTGTCGGTGTGTCGGTGTGTCGGTGTGTGAACTCCCCGCCTCCCACCTCCCCACCTTCCTCGTCCTCCGCAGCCATGTTGGCTCAGGCACCGCCTGCCCGTGCTTCAGGGGTGGCCCCGCTGCGGCGCCTGGCGGCTGGGGCATTCCCCCGAGGAGGCGAAGGGGCCCGACCAGCCCCGGCCGTCCGGCAGTTCGGTCTCCTGGGGCAGCGCAGGTACCCTCGCGTCGGGAAACGAACATCGAAGCAGACCTTGCATTAGCAAGAATTTTCGGTGCTCCGAAGGGATTTCTCGGGTCGGCGCTGGGGCCCCCCTGGCGTGCTCTGCGCTCCCTGGGAAAGGGGTCCATCGCCGATCCGAGAAATCCGCGTGGAGCTTCAAACAACTGATGTTTACGCAGTTCGTCGTTCATCTAAATCATGATGGCGAAAGTTTTCGTTTGCCATGGTCTGCATCTGGGGACCCTCGGGCCCCGAGACCGTCAAAAACGAATCCGGGTGTAAAGCAGTCCCGGGGAAGGTGTCGAGACCTCTGGAGGTCGACGTTGTGAAAAAATGTTGGCGGGGGTCTTGGAGGAGGAGCATAATTAAGAGGGGGACGAGGGGGAGGAGGCAAGCCGTGAGATGCCGGTGGTGCGATTTTTGTTACATGCGGCGTGTTCGCTTGGCCTCGGGCCCTGGCAGATCGGTCCAGCCCGAAGAGTGCCGCAGAAAGATGGGGTTTGGAGCTCCGGTCGTGATTTTTCGCGATGTTGCATCTTTTCCGTATCGTCGGATCTCCTGGTCAAACGAGTTCTGGAGTTTTGTCTTGTTTTTTATATACCCCGGGGGAAGAGTTGGTCCTGGGGGAAGGCCGATGTCGTCCGGGACCCGCGTCCCTCAGGGCCCGTTTCCTTCATGCCAGCCGAGGAGGTCCTGGCGCAAAAGTTTCCCGCCGATGTCGGCAGGCGACCAGTGTCTACAGGCTCCTGAAATTATAGATGTTGGCGGCGGGCGAGGAGGGAGGTGAGAGGGAGGAGGCCTTCTCAGAAGGTGGCGGGACTTCGGAGAAGCCCTCGCGCCTTCTGAGAAGTTTTCAGCGTCTTCGGGGAAGGCTCAGAAAACTTCTCGGAATGCCAGAGGACGTCCGAGCCCTCTGAGAAGGCCCGCCCCATCTCATTCCCCCCCCCTCGCTCGCCGCCAATTATGGTGGTTAGGCGGTCGGTCTGCCCCGCCGATCGAGGGCGACCTTATGAAGTCAGTCATGCCGACTGGGGTAGGCCGCAGTCGGCCTGGCTGCAGCCAGGGCGAGCGA